CGCGACCCACCGTGCACGCACTTCTTTGCGTCGGCGGCTAGGCAGAGCAACTGCGCTGGCGGAAAAACTATATGAACAAAAACACGATTTTGCGAATTGTGCCACAATGCAAGAAAAAGCGAGAAGGCAGGGGTGGCGGCAGCAGGAAAGGGGGAGGGGCGAGGGCCGTTCAGGGGGACGGATCACGCCCGGAACGCGTGGCGTGACCAGCCCCGCCGGCGGGGACTGCGGCGGCTGCCGCGCCAGGGCGCTAGCGGCCAGCGGCGGCGGGGCCCAGCGCGCGAACCGAACGAGTACAACGGGCCAAGTGCAAAATGCAATCATGGGCCTGAAGACCAGGCGGTGGCTGCGCATTCCCCAGGTCGGGGCGCGGAAGAGGCAGCGAAACGGCATCGCCAAGCAGAAGAATGCTGGGACGGCGGAAGGACACGGGAGGGGGTGGCGGGCGGCAAGACCAAGCCCGGCACCCCAGCCTGGCGGCTGCAGGCAGCGGGTCGGCGCCACGGCGGCGCGCGGAGGGGGAGCGCGTGGGGGCGGGCAGCAAGACCAGGCCCAGGAACCCGAACGCGAGGCGGCGGCAGGCAGCGCCTTGGGCGCAGCGGCGGCGCACGGAGGGAGGGGCCCCAGCGCCCAGGAGGACAGGGCGGGCCAATGGGAGGGCCAGGGCCGCCGCGCGTCGCAAAGGCGGGCGGCGACCCGCGCAACGTGACCGGGCAAAACTGTGGCTGGCGCTGGCGGCCCCCGCTGCCCGGGTGGACAGGGTGGGCCAGGTCGGAGCGCCTACTCGGCGAACGAAGGCGCGGGGCTGCGCTGGCGGAAGAGGCAGCGGGGGAAAGTCCCGTCGCAGCGGCTGGGGTCGCGGGTGCCGCCGCCACGCAGAGCGCAGCATCTGCTCCAGGCCGCGCTGGGCTCACCTCCTGTTAACTACATCCTCCTGACCCGGGCTGTCATGGGCCCCCTCTGAGTTGAGGAAGTCAAGCGGGGCGCGTGCTGAGACGTCCTAAGGACGCGCCCGCCCCTTGGCTTCCTGCAGTCCGAAGCGAAATTCCAGAGGGCGCGGGCGCCCAGCGAAGCGGCCCAGGTGCCTTTCACAAGGGGCAAGAGCTTACCCCGAGCACGCGGAGGTGTCTCCCCTCGCAGACTGGCGCTGTGGCAGCCCTCGGTGCTGAAGCCGTCAGTGTCCGTCCTGGCTGGGGAAGGGCGAGGAACCTCCGGGGCGGGCGACGGGCCCCCGTCCTGATGCTCGTCGGCGATGGCCCACTCGCCAGCTGCCGCCGCGGCGCCAGCGGGCTGCAAGGAAGGTCGCCACGCGCCGCCCCGACTGGAATGCGCTGCCGGGTGGCCCACTGCTCTCGATTGTGCTGTTGGGTTCCGCTTTCCGGCCGCGGCGACGAAGGAAACCCGGGGCGCTCGCCGGCAACGGGGTCGGCGTCGGCGTCGTCGTTGGGGCTGGCGCCCGCGTCGGCGCCGGTTTCGGCGTCGCCGCGGGCGTCGTCGCCGTCGTCGTCGCCGCCAGCGTCGGCGTCGGCGTCGGCGTCGGGGAAGACGTCGTTGTCGTCGCCTGGGGCCAGGGCCGTCTGAGTTCCGGCGCGGCGACAAGGGACGTCCGGGACGCGCGACGGCGACGGGTCCAGCGTCGGCGTCGGCGTCTGGGCCGTCGCCATTGTCGGCTTCGGCGTCAGCGTCGGCGCGGGCGTCGTCGTCGCGGTTTCCGCCGCCGCCGGCGTCGTCGTCGTCGTCGGCGTCGGTGCCGGGGTAGGCTTCGAGGTCGTCGTCTCGGACCAGGGCCGTCGCGGGGCCACCGCCCGGGGCGCCGCCCCCGCCCCCCGGATGACGGGGGCCGCCCGATCTGCTGTCGAAGGCGGGCGGGCGGATGGAAGCGAAGGGGCCTCTGTTGACCAGGCGGTCGAGCGCCCCCGCGGGCCCGGCCCCCCAGCTACCTGGCGGAGTGGCAGCCCGAGACCCTCCAGGTCGCGGCGGCCGCGCGCCCCGTCGGGGCGCCTTGCCGGGGGGGCCATTGACAGACGGCTGCATCAGGGGGGGTGGCGTGGACCTGGCCATCCGCGCCCAGTACCCGAACCACCCAGGTGTCAGGGGGCAAATCAGCGGGGGCGTCGGCGGTCGAGCTGAGGAGGCCGGCCACCCCCGCAGCCCTGCCCGGGCGCCTGGTTCCGCACTCGGCTCGGGCGTCTGGCTGACGCTGCGCGCCACCTTCACTGGCGAGCCTTGGGCGGCCGGGGGCGGGGCCCAAGCCCGCGGGCACCGCGCGCGCCGGCTGAACCGCGTCGCTCTCGCCAACCCCGTGCCTGGGAGCGCCGTTACTCGCGGTGGCATCCTGTCCGGCGCCCTCGCCCCCTCCCCCTTCTGCCTCGGGCCCGCGGACGCACCTACCCAGCGCAAGCGCTGAAGAGGAGGTCTCATTTACTGCCAGAACCCCGTACTGAGGAACTCGGGCATAGACCTTCTTCCACGATGGCGCATCATCGGAACGCCGGCCGTTGCGACGCCCGTCCTGGAAGAACATGCCGATGATAGAGACACGAATAGGAAATCGAATATTGGCACCCTCGGAACACAAGCACAAGCACGATCACGTGCATACAAGCACACACACAACACACAGACACATGACATGCGCACACACATGACAGGCGAACCCCGCGAAGCACAAGCACGATCATATGCACACACGCACACACAACATATAAACACATGACACGTGCACACACACACACACACACACACTCATGACAGGCGAACCCCGCGCACTCCCCACAGGAGCACTCCATTTTCTGCAGCTCCCAACGCAGAAAGCCCTTGAACCACCCCACCCTCTCCCTAGCCCACCCCCCACCCCCCGAGCAGTGGAGAGAGCGAGGAAAAGAGGCCATGCCTCAGCCCAGCCCCGAACTACTGCGAGAATGCGAAGACTTGGGACAGAAGTTGAGATCAGGCCCCGAGCGCGCTGCCACGCTATCGCCCCCCGCCCGCCAGGAAAGGGGGCCCAATCCCTGAGAGATGGTGCAAGAACATCTCCCGGCGCATGGGGAGTGGGCTCCACGTCGTCAGGGCGCAAGACCCCCACTCCGTGGGGGGCGGTGGAAGACCACCTCCCGGCGCAATGGAGTGACCAGAAGGCGACGACGTCCCAGCGAACAGACAACCCGAGCACATTCCCCACCGGAGCTGTGTTTTCCTCTCTCCTGTGCCGATACTGGGCCATAGTAGCCCTCTGCGCGCGCTTTGGCGGCGCAACCCCGCCCGCCCCCCCCCGCCCATTCCGCCCCCCTGTCAGTCGGCGCTCTACTCCGCGGAGGTCGGGGACCACAACTGCGCGGCGCCCCGGAGAGGCACCTTAGGATCAAGAGGCCCAGACCGAGGCGCCTCACCTCGCCTGCCGGTCCCTGGTGACCAGGCGGGATCCAGCCTCACGCTGCCCGTATCCAACCGCCCCCGCACATACATGGCAGCGAGCCGTGCCCGCCCGCCCCACTCATAGTAGTCTGGGCCAACGTATAGCGGTGAGGAGCACATGAAGGGTCGTACCTGGGACGTGTTTGACAAAGCGCACCCCCACCGTACCAAGCTTAGGTCACCGTGAGGCGATGGGAAAAGTCCGGGCCGGGGGGAACCCGAACGATCCCCTATCTGTGGGTTGGCCGCCCCCAGGCGCCATCGCAGTTCTACGCGCGCACTCGACCGAACGCCCCCACGGGCACCCGAAGAGCGTTGCCCCTCGGCTCAACCGAGAGGTTTGGGCACTTCGAGCCTATTTCGGCGCCGTACCGCCCAGTCGCTTACCCAGAGACGCATACCGCTCCCGTCCGACTCGGCGGTCCATGGACGTGCTGCTGCAATTGGCGGTCACACCCGGCACCGCGGCCCTGGGAGCAGGGCGCAGGCCGGTGAGAGCTATGGGCGCGCCCCCCGACGCCATAGCTATTTTTTTGTCAGCGATCCCCTGGGGGCCTGAACGATTTTGAAACAGCACGTCGGCCACGATGGCCGAAGACCAGCTCACCCGCTGAGCACGACTGACGTACAGCCCAGCAGATGAGGGACAGCGGGCGGGACAGGGGACAGAAGAGGCCCCAGATTTAGCCACCCGCCATCCACAAAATCTGGTCAAAATCTGGTCACGGCGCGTCGCCTAAAGGCGCGGCAACGGGCCGTGCCACCGCCGACGCTTCACGGGCCTGAATGCGTGCCAGGAGCGCCGCCATACCTGCCGTCTCTATCAGCCCTGACGGCGAGAGCGGCAGGCTGACATCTGGCGGCGGTGGCCTCTGAGACTCGTAGCAAAAGAAAGCCACGCCTCGCCTCGAGGATTCGCTCACCGTGCTATTGTCACGATAGTGAGGATAGAGGCCAGCAAAGATGACGCCATAGCTAAGGCTGGGCGTGGCATTTGTTTCCGAGGATCCGAAAACGCTGCATCGAGCAGCCCAGACACAAGACCCGAGACCATGCATGCACCATCCCAGCACGCATGCCACGCCGCGCAAACACGCAAGCACACACATACACGCCAGGCACATGCAACACTCAAGCGCCCGCACGCGCGCGCAAAGACATTCTACCCGTCTGCTGCCAATATTCGTAGTTCCGCCGTCTCTGTAGTGTCACTGGACGTCCGCACCTCCCAGCAAGGCCGCCTGCCGCGGCAGCAGTGCTGGCAGACAGGTCCGGGGACAGCCTGCAGGGCGCGCAGTACGCCGCGACGTGTGCCCCGCCCGCCGCGGGAACCTCGGTACGCGCGCCAGCCGCGGCGGCGGCGGAGGCCACCGCGGCCGCGGCCGCGCCAGCCGCCGCGGCGGTGGCAGCCCAAGCAGCGGCGGCAGCCGCCGCCGAGTCCAGGGCGGCCGCGCGCGCGACGGCGGCCGCAGCACCCGCCGAGCAGCCGCCCCCGCCGGCGGCGGCGGCGTCAGCGGCGGGCGAGGCGGCCGCGGCACCTGCAGCAGGCGTGGCCAACACGCGGCACGCGGCCGCCGCGCCGCAGGCGCGGCCCGCGGGCCAAGGCCGCCGGCGGGGGCCGCAGCGGCGGCAGCAGCGCACGCGCCGGCGGCGGCGGCCGCAAGGCCAGCTTCGGCAGGGCCGGCGGCCGGCCGGCGGCGCCAGCCCCGGGGGCGGCGCGGCGCTCAAGGCGGCCGCGTGCCGCTGTCGGCGGCGGCGGGCCGACCGCGACACCGCCGCGCCAGCGGCCGCGGCGACCGCGGCGGCGCCGGTCAGCGGGGGTCGCCACCGCGCGCCTCGAGGCTTGGACGGGGCCCCCCTTGCCAGCCCCCCCGCCAGGCAGGCGAGCCGGAGGCAGGGGCTACCCTCGGCAGGGGCCACTTGAGCCAGAGCGGCCTCGAGCCAGAGGCTTGAGCCAAAGGCTTGAGCCAGAAGGCTACGGACCGTGCACACACACACACACACACAAACACACCCACACACACACACACAAACACATACACACACACACACAAACACACACACACACACACACACACACACACACACACACACGCGCACGCGTGCACGCGGACGCACAGTCATAAACAATCCCCCCGGGTCGCATGCGCGCAAAAAAGAATGGAAGCGGACGCAAGCCGGTAGAGTGGCGAATGTAGTTGTTTCTAGTCCGCGACCACGAAGGCAACCTCAGCCCCAAAAGAAAAGCAGCTGTGTCTGTGTTTTGGGCTCCTTCTCGCTCCTGCGGGATCCGAAGAGCTTCTCGGGCCCCCGAGGTGGCCCCAGCAGGGCCTCGCGAGAGCCCCGAGAGCCCCAGACCTCCCCGAGATTGTCTTAGAATGGGGGCCCGAGCGCGGGGCCTCGAGCTTGCCCAGAAATGGCCCGAAGACGCCCCAGGACGGTGTTAGGAGGCAACTGCTGCGAGGTTTTCGTTGGAAAGATTCGAAAAGAATTGAGCCCCATTGGGGGGCTGGTACGCCGGAGTGGGCCTCGGATTAAGCCGGATTAAGCGGGATTGAGCGGGATTAAACCAGATTAGGCGGGATTAAGCCGGATTAAGAGGGATTAAGCGGGATTAAGCTGGATTTAGCTGGATTAAGCGGGATTGAGCGGGATTAAGCCGGATTAAGCGGGATTAAGCGGGATTCGGCCGGATTTCGGACCAGGGCAAACTCGGAATTTGACCTCCCAGGAGTTGCATCCGAAATGGTGCGGTGGTGGCGCCCGCCGTGGCTCCCGCCCTGCGGGCCCCCAGTCGGCGGAAGCCCTGCGGCAGCGCAGAGGGAGCAGAGCGCTCTGAGCCATGGCGGACGCGACCGGCGAGCAGGAATGGGACGCACAGGGACATACTAGTACTATAGGTCCTCCGTGGAGGCGCGCGTCCGACCCGAACATATTGTATACCCATCTTGTAGTATATCGTTTCGCGAGCGGTGCGGCCAGAGAGCGCCCGCCACGACGCAGACACTGTAGGATTTCTCGGTACGCGCGCCGCCCCTGGGGGGCGACGCACATATAGTATAAGTATGTTGGGGTGACGCCGAATGAAGGCCTCGGATCTGAGAAGGAGGCGCAGGTCGCAGGCACAATGCGTGCAAAAGCCCGCCCCGCACAGTCGTACCCACTCTCCTGGGGAAACGTAAGAGCACGCGTGCCAGTCTGCGGTCAAGCTCCTGGAGGCACACACAGCAAAACAAATAGTCCGCGTTCCCGTGCTTCTTGAACACGTGATGATACAATGGTTTAGCGCTCACAAATCCACGAAGGACGTCAATTCGCCCGAGAGGCCCTCATACCGTCTCTCAGGACAGCTCCCCTCAAACACAACGTGACACCTGGACCTCTAGAGGCGTTCAGCTGGCCCCTTGAGACGGTTCAAAGGAGTCTCATTTCGGTGCACCCCTCGCGCACGTCGTGCCTCATGGAGCTCCAGAAGCGCCCAGCTGGCCCCTCAAAACGGTTCGTGAGAGCTTGAATCCGAAATTCGTTGCCCATTGACCTCAAGAGGCGCCGTGTTGGATCTCAAGACGGCTGACGAGAGCCTCAATCCGGCAGACTCCGCATGATGGGCCCCCCAAAACCCTCAGGAGGCTTCACAGATCGCCCGAATCTCCAAAGGACGCCAAAACAGCAACGATTGGTACGATTGCAACGATTGGCACCGACCTTCGTCGAAGCAGTAAACCTCGAACACGCACCGATCGAGAAATTTGCGTGCTCGTGTCCCCCCGTGGTCCCGCCGTGCCTCCCTCGCTGCGAGCCGAATATTGAGACGACAAACGTGTTACATGTTGTGCTAAAGACTCGCTGGAGTCAATAATGCGCTGGAGCCAAGATGCATCCAAAGGGGCAGGCTCAGACATGCTACGTAATTGATTTGCTTTGCTTTGCTTACGAACTTTTTGCGTTGGATGTCATGGCGACGATGTCGTTGCTATCGCTTAGTTCGTTTGATGTTGCGAACTGTTCCGCTGGTCTGTTGCGCTGCAGTGCGTTAGTGTGATTTGCCTTGAGGTGGCTTACGCTGTCATTCATCCCTTCCCAATGCATCATGGTGGCTTGTTTTGAGTTGCCTGGCTATGCATCGATCGAACTTCGTGTGCACTGCATGTCGTTTGCGTTGCTTTCCTGGGCGGGTTCTCCAAAGATGGGGGCAGCACCCTGAGGAAGCCGGGAGGGTAATCCTCAAGGAATCCAATCTCAAGATAACATCACTGGCCCTCTGCTAATGCTAACCTAAGGGTCCTCCCGCAAACTCTATCTCTGCAGAAGAAACTAGAGAAAGAAAACCGAAGAAAGAGGAAAAGGCATCCACAACACCGACCTGCCCCGGAAATTCTCGGTGCAACATGCGGATCCGGCCTGCCTGAAGCAAAGCTGCGCCGCAGGTGGACAGAATGAGAACGACGTCTGGGTTCTGGCCCTCCATCTCTCCGTCAAGGATGTGACTGCTGACGGACCTGCCGGCGAAGCGGCCGTGAACGACGAATCGAAAGAAATTCTCCATGCCGCACTTCTCATCACCCTCGTCATAGTCATCATGATCATGATCATGATCATGATCATGATCATCATCATCATCATCATCATCATCGTCGCCGTCGTCATCATCAATCATCAACATCATCAGCATCAGCATCATCAGCATCACCGTCATCATCGTCATCACCACAATCAGTAACATCACCGTCGTCGTCATCATCACTCTCCTCATACTCATCATCGTCATCAGCATCATAATCAAGATCAGCATCAGCATCAGCATCAGCATCAGCATCAGCATCATCATCATCATCATCATCATCATCATCATCATCATCATCATCATCATCATCATCATCACCATCACCGTTACCATCACCATCAACATCATCATCGTCGTCCTTCTCCGCCTGCTCATGATCCCAGCCTTTTCGCCCTCGCCCGGCTCAACCCACTGGCGCCATCAAAGCGTTCGCTCGACATCATACTTCTCTTCCTGTATGGCCCCCTCGTCAACGCATCCTCCCTCCCTGCCACCCGCCTTCCCAGCGTCCCTCTATCCTCCTGCGCTTCCGCCTCCTCCTCCGCGCATCATCCGACATGGTTGTGACTACGCAAGGAAAATTCACTAATGCCTCTCAATGCGCCTCGTGCGCCTCCTGCACCGGGCATGCGCTCACGTCCTGCTGCTGCTGCTGCGCATAGGCCCCCGACAGTCTCGCCCGCTCCTGCCGCCTCCTGCCTCTCTCTGTCTTTCTCTTCCTCCTCCAACTCTTCCCCCACCCCCTCCTCCTCCTCCTCATCCTCCTCCTCCTCCTCCTCCTCCTCCTCCGCCTCCTCCGCCTCCTCCGCCTTCTCCGCCACCCCCGCCTCTTCCTCCTCTTGCCCGTTTGGGCGGGGATGGCGGCGGTGCGGGCTTGGGGGGGATTGGTGGGGCAGAGCCCTGATGCTGATCTGATAAGTACGACAGCGACTCTAATCCGTCGCCGAGCGCGCAGAGCGCTGGCGATACCAGCCGAGGCCGATGATAAGACGAGGGCGGAACGTGCCCGACCTGGTCCCAGGCCCTGCAAGTTCGAGAGAGCCCACCAGGTCACAGACCATCTGCTCGAGAAATGGGGTGGCAGATTATGGTGGCGCACGGCGTGCCAGCAGGTACTGCCCAAGTACAAAATTCGCGAATTTGCCGCCAAGCTTTGCTCAGGCCCCCCGGCTGACATCGAGTCTGGGGGACGCGCGGTGTGAGGGCACCGCTTCGCGCCAGCTGCCCCACCTGGTGGCTCGACCGAACGCAGACACCCCTCACAAGGTGCAGTTCATTGAGAATTGGTTGCTCTTCGTTTGCAGTGATTGTGGGCTGTAGGCCACTGTCGACCCCAGTAAGTCTGACTGGCCAATGCCGTGAGCGTACGCCTCAAAAGGCTGGGAGAACCTCGGTCGCCCTGCAAAAGGCTTGCTTCTTCGTCGCGAAGGGCTGGGAAAAAAACACGAGTCTGGGGGCCATGCGCGCCCGTGACGAGGCTGCTGTTTGAGCGCTGAACAAGCTGCTCGGCGGCGAGTGAGAAGGAGAAGGCCCTCTCCAAGGCGGCGGGTCTTCTGCCTCTTCGAGGAAGGCTCAAACAACTTCTCAGAAGGTGGAGGAACTTCCGAGCCTTCTGAGAAGGCCCGCCCCTTCTCACTTCCCCCCCAGGCTGGCCGCCGAGAGATGATGCCCGCGTCCCAGAAGCGGCCAGTCGAACCTGCCCGCCCCGGCCCGCCCGCGCGCACTCGCGAGCACGGGGGACCTGCGCCTCCAGCGGCGAACCCAAGTCCTCCAAGAGCTGCGACACGAAGGAAGCCTAGGCCCCGGCGTGCCTGGCCGGGAACTACGCCCCTGGAGGTTCGGACTCTGCGCGGCGCGCCAGCTCGCGGCCCCTCTCGGCCAGGCCCGGCCAGGCTCGCGAGCCCAGGGCCGCCTGGCTTCGGGTCCTGGGGGCCGTCCACGGAGCACGCCCAAGAGTCGCACCTGATGGACTTCGGAGGACGGAGAAGTCCGCTCCGTACCCGGCAAGAGTTCAACACAGTTCTTCCTCTCCTCCTCCTCCTCCTCCTCCTCCTCCTCCTCCTCCTCCGCCACCTCCTCCTCCTCCTCCTCCTCCTCCTCCTCCTCCTCCTCCTCCTCCTCCTCCTCCTCCTCCTCCCCCTACGCACCCTCATTCCCAACCATCCTGTGGTGTTGGGTCCTCGCGTTGAAGAGACAGCGCCCCGCGTTTCCTCCTCCCTCCTCCTCCCTCCTCCCCTCCTCTCATCATCATCATCATCATCATCATCATCATCATCATCATCATCCTCCTCCTCCTCCTCCTCCTCCTCCTCCTCCTCCTCATCATCATCATCATCATCATCATCATGATCATCAGCAGCAGCAGCATCATCATCATCATCGTCATCATCATCATCATCATCATCATCATCATCATCATCATCATCACCATCATCATCAACAGCAGCATCATCATCGCCATCATCGTCGTCATCATCAACAGCAACATCATCAACATCATCGCACGTTTCGTTGCCCCACAGGGAGCTCCATCGAAGGTCCCAATGGCGCGGTTGGCATGCGTCTCCCCCACCCCCGTACAGCGTTTCGTGGCCCCACGGGGAACGCCACCGAAGGTCCCCGTAGCGCAGTCCGCATGCGTCTCCCCCACCCAGCACAGCGTTTCGTGGCCCCATAGGAGCTCCGCCGAAGGTCCCACTGGCACGGTCCGCATGCGTCCCCGCCACTCATTCCGGCACACTCCTCACACGTTTCGTGGCCCGATAGGAGCTCTGCCGAAGGTCCCCGTGGCACAGTCCGCATGCGTCCCCGCCACTCATTTCGGCACAACCCCTCACACGTTTCGGAGCCCCATAGGAGCACCGCCGAAGGTCCCAGTGGCACAGTCCGCATGCGTCCCCGCCACTCATTTCGGCACACCCCTCACACGCTTCGTGGCCCCATAGGAGCTCTGCCGACGGTCCCAATGGCACAGTCTGCATGCGTCCCCGCCACTCATTTCGGCACACCCCTCACACGCTTCGTGGCCCCATAGGGGCTCCGCCGAAATTCCCAGTGGCACAGTCCGCATGCGTCCCCGCCACTCATCTCGGCACACCACTCACACGCTTCGTTGCCCCATAGGAGCTCCGCCGAAGGTCCCAGTGGCACAGTCCGCATGCGTCCTCGCCACTCATTTCGGCACACCCCTCACACGCTTGGTGGCCCCATAGGAGCTCCGCCGAAGGTCCCCGTGGCACAGTCCGCATGCGTCCCCGCCACTCATTGCGGCACACCCCACACACGTTTCGTGGCCCCATAGGAGCTCCGCCGAAGGCCCCAGTGGCACAGCCCGCATTCGTCCCCGCCACTCATTTCGGCACACCCCTCACACGCTTCGTGGCCCCATAGGGGCTCCGCCGAAGGTCCCCGTGGCACAGTCCGCATGCGCCCCCGCCACTCATTTCGGCACACCCCTCACACGCTTCGTGGCCCCATAGGAGCTCCGCCGAAAGTCCCAGTGGCACAGTCCGCATGCGTCCCCGCCACTCCGTTCGGCACACCCCTCACACGTTTCGTGGCCCCATAGGGAACTCCACCGAAGCCCCGTGGCGCAGTCCGCATGCGTTTCCCTCACCCAGTATAGCGTTTCGTGGCCCCATATGGAGCCCCACCGAAGGTCCCCGTGGCGCAGTCCGCATGCGTCTCCCTCTCCCAGTGCAGCGCTTCGTGGTCCCATAGGGGGCTCCACCGAAGGTCCCCGTGACGCAGTCCGCATGCGGTTTCCCCACCCAGTACAGCGTGTCGTGGCCACATAGGGAGCTCCACCGAAGGTCCCCGTGGCGCAGTCCGCATGCGTCTCCTCCACCCAGTACACCTCCGACGGAGGCCGTCGGAGTTCTGAGGAGGACGAACGGGGTGGGCTGCGGAGGAACGGAAGACGAGGAGGAGGTCGGAAGAGAGGAGGAGGAAGGGGACGAAGACGATGATGACGATGATGATGTTAAAAATTTATGATGATGCTGATGATGATGATGATGATGAGGAGGATGATGATGATGATGACGAAGATGCTGACGCTGCAAATGATGATGATGGTGATGATGATGATGAGCAGATTGACGGTGATGCGGCTGATGATGCTGCATATGATGATGCTGGTGATGATGCTGTTGGCGACGATGGTCACGATGATGATGATGCTGACGGTGGTGACGATGACGAAGTTGACAGTGCTGACGATAACGATGATGATGGTGATGATGATGATGATGATGATGATGCCGATGATGTCGGGGAGTCCCGGGGAAGTTGCTTGCGGCGGCCACGCCCAGCGTCACGAGCACTCAGAGGCAGATATTCTTAAACGATTGACCTGTCTATACACTTACACCATGCTTTGTCAGACTCGTAGACTCGCTCGCATGCAGATTCATTCACAGTCAAACGCGCTCGCGCTCAGATTCACCCGCGCTCAGTCTCCCTGCGTACTCAGATCAATCGTTCTCGTTCGCGTTGTGTACCACGCCACTCATTTCGGCACACCCCTAGCACGGTTCGTTGCCTCGTAGGGACCACCACCGAAAAAGTGAATCACAATTGCGGTACTCACACCTGCATATGGTTGGGTCCTTCGTCAGGCTAATTATTGTATGGTTTCGCCGGCCGTTCGGGGCGATCGGGGAATCCCTGGAACGCTCTCGGCGAGGCGCAGCTGCTGGAGGACATCCCGAGGTTGGAAAGCCGCCGAAAACCAACGACCCCGAAACTTGTTCCTCCTCCTCCTCCTCCTCCTCCTCCTCCTCCTCCTCCTCCTCCTTCTCTTCGTCCTCATCCTCCTCCTCCTCTTCCTCCTCCTCCTTCCTCCTCCTTCTCCTCCTCCTCCTCTTCCTTCATCTCCTTCACCTCCGAGCCCCCTTCACCTCCTTTACCTCCTCCTCCTCCTCCTCCTCCTCCTCCTCATCATCATCATCATCCCCCTCTTCCTCGTATTCTTCCATTCCTGTTCCTCATAAATACTTCTTCCCTGTCGCACCCTGAAGCCAATCGGAAGGGCGGCCCGGGCGTTCCGCCCGAGACTTCCTTACCACGTGCGATCCGATGCTTCCAACATGTCAACCGCTTCGCAGGTGGAGGGCGGTCCGCTTCAATCATGTCGTTTTCTTCCGTAGCGCCGCGCACAGTCGTTGAAACAGATATAAAAACTCCACGGATTAGGGGCGACTGGTTTTCAAAATGTAGTTCTCGCCATGGCGCCACGCACATTCGTCTTTGACGTGTGCAAGAAGTTCACACGTGGAGGGTGGCTCCTCTTCAAAATGCAACTCTCGCCTCAACGCCGCTCTTCTTTAACAGCAGCAAAAGCTTCACGGAATATCGTGGCCAACGTACCAGAATGTGTTGGAACGGTTCATGAACGCGAAAGCACAAAAATTACGTTGAGTCGCGGTGCTGACATCCCGGAAACGGTTTTTGCCACAATTCCGGATCGTCCATATGCAACACTCATGTTGAACCGTCACGCCGAAGTCCCGAAGATGGTGCTTTTGGCATGCTTCCGGATCTTCAAGCGAGCGTCTCCACACGGGGCACTTCCCTCAGCGGCAATGACCCTTGCAAGTGCTTATTAAAGAGGGAGGTTGGAAGGAGGGTCTATCCCAACATCGTTGATGGGTCCTGGGTTTACACTGGTCCTCCTGTGTATGGGGTTGGAGTACAAAGGTACAGAACCCCTTATCCGCTGGTAGAGGAAAGGAGGGAAAGATGGATATCTTTTCCTCCTGAACGATCAAAGGTCTGATCGATCTAACCCAATACCTGAGGCCAAACGGCCAGGAGCAGGAGAGTCAGGATAAGGAATATATATGAAGGTATTATACGGGTTCTACACACACCCCGTCCCGAATCCCGCCCGCAAGGGCAGGACTCGGGAAAAGGAGAAAAGAACCTGTCACCCATTTACTCCTCAAATCCTTAGCACAGATAGGCAGCTGAGCGGAAAAGCTGCATCGCTGCAGCTGCGTCCCGACCACGATAGCAGCGTGCAAAAGAGAAGCGTAGCACAGCAGCTGGCGTGATCGGGAAAGTAAGGGGAGGAAGGAGCACCCAGGGCCCCTGTTTCTTCGCCGAACACACTTTGGTGCCCCCTCGGTGCGCCCCCCGAAAACGCTTCGGCACTCGAGGGCGGAGAAGAATGAGGCACGGGTGGGCGGAGCAAGAGGATCTGAGTGAGTTAGAGCAACATCAGAAGCTGCCGCGTCTATACGCGGCAGGTGTTGCCACCAGCTTTCAAACGAAAGCTGGGCATCAAATAATTCTCAACGCAAAGTTATATTTAAAATGTACTGTATATAATATGCAAAAGAATGCGATATCAAGCCGTGTTGAGAAACGCGATCGCGTTAAGAAACACGTCTAATCAATAACGCAAATGTCTGGCCAGGCGTGGAGTCGTGTTGATAAACGCGAAAAGCTGCATTAACAAATTCTGCTATTAGTTACTCCCCTCGGCGATGCTCCTTAGGAGTCTGCCTTGGGTTTCATAAGGTATGTATAAGTGGCCACTTTTCTTGTATAGTGAAGTGGCCAAAGATTATATAAGTATTCACTGCTCGAGGCGAACGTTTGCCAAGATGAAGTTCAAGCCAATCGAGCAGTGGGCCCTGCGGCCAACAAAACTAGGAGGTGTCTGTCATGTAGAACCTGTGGTCCCACACCCTGTAGCCGTCGGCCCACGAAGCTCGCCGTGCATGTCGCCCAAGACGTACTTGGGGTCCAGTTGCGGAACCGATCGTTGTACTGTAAGTCGCGGACGCACACGAACTCGTCATTGTTCTCCGCTATGTAAAACCAGCACTTGATGTAGTAGCTCCAGTACCTTGGGCCCCAACGGCTGCTCTCAAGGTTGTGGCGCCACCACATTGCATAGTCCTCTGTCGTACGTGCCCGCCTGGCACGCGGGGGTGTTGTCGGCCTGCGACTGCTGTCGCCAGTCGGGTCCGACTGCCCGCCATACTGTGGCGCTGCTGCAGCGCCGCTGTGCCCTGCGGGCGCGCCTGCCATTGCGCCCGAGGCGCGGCCCCCAGCAGCGTCGCCATGGGCAGCGCGAGGCGGCAGCGGAGGAGGCCGCGGCTCCATGGCGCCATGTGTGTCAGAGGAGTGCGCGCGGGGGCAGTAGGATCGGTTCTATCCCCTGAACTCGCCCCCCTTGTTTCGGCAGACCCCATGGCAGGTTCGACAGAAGCAAGCTTGGCAAGCTTACGCTGCGTGACCTTTTCACAAGTGCCGCCCCCGCGGGGCAAAGCAATTGCGATGAGACCACGTTCTTGCCTGGTGCCTCTGTCCATCCTACCTTCGTTCAACCGCCAGTTCCTGCGACCAGCGAGGTTAAGCGCTACACTGCGAGCATGGATGCCGCAGGCATCGCGCATGTCCTCGATGGTCCAGGCATTCTTGCCAGTTTCCACACGGGCGGCAGTCATCTGGCGGTGGAACCGTGGGTCGTTGAGGAAGCGTTGGGCGACAGTGCGGTAAGGGTGGCACAGAGGACGCTCATCGCCAGGTTCGCCCATCATCCTGCACTCACTCGCAGGAGGGGAACCTGCATCGAGCCACTTCTGGTACCTCTCTCCCGCCTTCTTCGCTAGTTTCCTCAGGCTATCCTTTTCTTGTCCGTACTTGGACCGTTTGCCCGTCATGTAGACGCGCGCTCCATCTGTCATGTAGCGCCTGACGTCGTCCTCGGAGAGGTTGGTCCTGATCCAGTTGTTGAGCTGCTGGAGGTACGCCAAGTCGTTCGCCTCGGCTCCATCTTTGCCTGCGGCGCCTTCAGAGACACTGCATTGCCAGCAGATATCGCAAAGTGTCCCATCATTGGTGACAGTCCCCAAAGATAGGAGGCGATCGCAATTCCGACATCGCGGGATATCTTGCTGGAGTTCTTCGGGAGCCCCAGACGTGGCGAGGTCCCTGAGAGAGCCCCAGCGAGTGTTGCCACCAGCTGCTGACGCGAGGGAATGACCAAGCTGGTTCATAGCCTCACGATTGAGCTCAGCGGTGGCACGAGAAGCGATCGATCGTCCGATCCCCTCGATCTCGGTCAGCGATAGCCTGCCTCCCGGTAGTCCTGCGTACTCGGAAGTGTCGTTATCCATGGAATCCGTCCGCGCGAATGCGAGTTGCCTCTGCCTGCAGGGTGGTCTCGTTGTCGCCCACCTCGCGGTCGATGTTCTGCATCAGCCAGGACCTGCACCATGGTCTCTTGATCTGGGGCTGCTGAAGCGACACTGCCTGGGTCCTGGGCAAGATCCTGTTTGGCGCCTGGGTCGTCCTGGTCAGGCGCGGCAGGCGTCGCCACCGGCTCCTCCCATACGGGGAAGCCTGGGTCTCCATGTGTCTTTTTGCACTCTGTGAAGAGTGCTCGCAACGCAGTAAGAGCAGGATGGTTCTTGTTGATGGAAACGTTTGTGAATTGATGTAGCTCCTTGATACCATCCAACAAGAAAGTCTGGTACACTTTGGAAATCCATTGGAAGATCCCTGTAGTTGATTCCTGAATTACTTCAGGGTCGAGGAAATGCACCATCTTCTTGAAGAAATGATCTGCGCTTCAAATTGGCAAATCACGTGCCCATGTATGAGTGTGGTCGTAGTCCATCTTGTATGCCTCTGTATTGGTCCCGAATCGGAACTCAAATCGCAAGTATGACCCTATCTTGTCCACTATAACTCAATAATTTGTGAGTCCACCAGTGGTGCCGATGTCCAGTAATACACTCGGTGGTCGTAAGAAGAAAGAACCCACTAGTCGGATCTTCTGGGTCGTAGCCGGGGTGGTTGAGGAAATTATCTGGCGGATCGATGATGTTATCGAGGACGGAAGATCCGACATCCTCATCATCATGAATATCCGCCATCATTTCTGCCCTCATGGCATCATTGGCTGCCTTCTCCTCGTCTGTCAGTGTTATGGTAGAAGTGTCAATGATGACAGTGACTGGAGCATCGGTGGATTGACCCGCTTCGCGTGGCGTTCCCTCTTCGCCCGCCATAGGATCGTCGGCGGCTGTCGCCGCCAGCTCCTGGTCGGGATCAGGTGTCCGAGGAGCGGGGCGTCTGGTCGGCGCACGTGGGATACGCGGCTTGTAGATGGTCGGGAGTCCAAGATACGGCAGAGCACCTGCACTGACGAACTCTGCGATCTCACCACTGCACGAAGACGGGCCCTCGATCGCCACATTCAAGTGCACAGGGTCGATGTTAGCGCGCACTGGCAAAGCGAAGACAATGCCCTTGAGAGGCAGGTTTTGTCGCAATACCATATGTTTACCCATCGTAGGCCGTAGTTGAGGATAGGTATTTGTACCGAGAAGAACTTCTCGAAGACTCCGAAATGTCTGACTGGTCCGTATACGTGGCCCTTGTTCATGCGAGCTCTCGTGTTGTAGTCGCCCTTGGGGTAGTGATGGTCATAGTGATAGCAATTGATTGGTCCCCAATTGTTGACGATAATGAAGTCTCCCATGCAGACGTCATTGAAGATAGGCCGTCGATCCCAGTGTTTCTGTGTAATATTTGCTGCGATGGGTCTGAGAGCCTCTCTGCATCGTGACATCGCAATCAACCAGTTATGATCATGTGTGTTGTGCCCACAACTGCTGACCATCTCACGGACGATGGCCTCATCTAAGGCGTCGGCGTCAGCAGTATGGCCAGCAGGGGTCGCCCCCAGCGAAGGGGCGATAGGTTGCTGTGCCGATGGTGCTGAGGCAGACTGTGTCCGCGGCGGTGGAGCCGTGGCGTATGCCTTCGCAGTTGGGGCTGCACTCGGTAGTGCCTGGGCGATCCCAGGAGGGTCGGCGATCGCATCCGCCTCGAACTCCTGTGCCGTTTGTTCTTGTCGTGATTGTTGCTGAGGAATGGCGCAAATCTCGTATTTGGTCAATGGTGGTCTCTGAGCCAGCGGCGGATAGTCCCAGCTGGGGCCCTTCTCTGGCCATAACTGCTTACCTGCTTCGCGGTGCCCTGTGACGCGGCGAACGGCAAGGACTGCAGCGGCTGGAACCACGTCCTCAGTCATAAGGCGCCCTGTGCACAAAGCCAAAATCTGCAACCAGATTTCGCGGCAAGCTCCATGTCGATCACGAGCTCCACCTCGTTCTTGTAGTGCTTGAACTTGTACGGTTGAACAGGCGATGTGTACGTAGGTGCTTGAACTGTAGAATGCCTCCAAACGCTGTGATCCTTTTTGCCGTCTGTCTCTCTGAGACTGATCGACATAGCCAGGAATGATCCCTGTCTTGAGGATGCTTCTCCAGGCGCGAAATGTCGTGCCGTGGTGGAGGTATTTGACGCCCGTCCATTGTAAGCCCTCCCAGCCCATATTCCATGGCCAGGAGAGTGGATTGACCGAACTGTGTCCTCCAACGCATCGGATAGCAATGACGCTGCTCCAATCGAAGCAGCTGGGATCACTCTCGGCAGGGACTGATTTGGCATATACCTCGATCCGGTTCTTCTCCGGGTCGATGTGCTTCTGGAACGCACGAAGGACGAAGATCGGGCAGTAATCAGTCCAGCAATCGTATCCAGCTGGTTTGCCATCTCTACGAAAATGTGCCACAGCCGCTTCAGTGGATGGTCCGTTAGATTGGCCACGACGCTCGTTGAATTTCCAGTGAACCACTTCCTGGAAAGATTTCCAACGGCTGGGAATCGTCCAGGACTGCTGTGCCTTCATCGACCATATGTTGACCCGTCGGTCAGTAAATTGGTCAAGATTGAAAGGTTTGTTGTGGTTCGCATGGCGGAGCATGGTCGTGATATCCTTGCTCATGTATGTAGGATCGCCAAGCCACTCTTGCGTAAGCAAGTCGGGTCCGTAACGGGTCTGCTCGCATGGCGGAAGTGACATCCACTTCCATTCTGGGAAACAGCCGGATTGGGCAATGTCGGACGCGTGGGTAATCACGCAGTCGTCGTAAGCCAATTGAGATGCCCAGTCGTCGTTCACAATGCAGTCCATGCCATTGTGTGCGGATGTGCCCCTCAACGGAGGCGGTGCGTATGGATGATCGTCCGTAAGACCAGCCTGGAGCTCGTACTCACGAGGAGTGTATGCATTGTTGAATGTAGGTATCTGGCTCGTGTCCTCATGGTAAGATCGCTCGCAGCAGTCCTGCCACGATAGCACATGTATAGTGTCCAATTGCTGACCAAGCGTAGGCGCATTGTCAGCAGGAAGTGCGCCCAGCTCCGTAGCCATGTCAGCGTCCTCGTCCGAGGCAATATGCGAACCCATGTCTGCGGGCGCCGCTGGCGTGGCGGTCGGGGGCGGGCCTGGCGGCAGGGGCTGTCTTTCCTCACTGAGCGGGGTCGCCAGGAGCGTTACCGGGTCTGCAGCAGCTGGTGCTACAGCAGGCCTGGCGGCCGGCTCCGGCGGCTCAGGTTGTACCTAGACGCAATCCAAGGCAGTCCGGGTGTAGAAACTTTTGCATGCCAAGATGGCATCTGAGTTGTCAATGCGAGGTCCGACACGATGAGAGTTCAGTACATTACGCTCTGCAATGATACGCGACTGATTTGCATAGCTAGCCTCAGCAGTATCATTGACCTGGATCAAGAACTGCTCGTATACAATCCAAGTGAGAGCACGCGCATCCTTGGCATCTTCACTATTTTAGGGTGCAGGAGCTCCTTTTTTCGCCCGAGTTGTAGGATGCCCGAACGCCCGGGTAATCCTCGAGCAGGAGGATAAGCTTGTGGTACAGCTCCTCGTATGCCCCACAATATGGATCATCATCTTGATTGGATCGCGCTGGAGTCGCTGGCGGCGGCTCGTTTGTGATCCCAGGGATAGGCATATATGGATCGCTTGTTGCCAGCGGCATGGATTGCGGTAGCGTGCCACTGGCGCAGGAAGCCATCCAAGCGCAATGAGCCATTTCCCCTGCAGTCTGGTTCATCAGCGTCGCGAGGCTGAGATGCCTTTTCCACTCGGTAGTCGCTTCCTCGCGGAAGTGGAGAGCGTCCATGTTCTCTTTAG